CCCCGAGGCTCTGCCTGAGGGCTCCCTCGGCCTGCTGGGAAGGCCCTGCCGCGTGCTGCTGCCCTCCAGCCTTGCCGTGCTGCCTGGCCTGTGCGCCAGGCCCCAGCCGGCCATGCCGCATGTCGCCGAGCCCTCTGCGTGGCTTTCACCTCTGCGTGCTTGGCTGCCCACGCACTTGCCCCCCTCAGCAGGTGTCTGCTGATGTCGGTTTTGTCCTCTGCCTCCTGCTCACTTCCACTCCCAGCCGCTGGCCCTGAACCCAGGGGCCTGTCTTTATCCTCAGCCACGGGTGGGAGAAGGTGCACAGCGACCCGACCGACGGCACTCTGCCTGCCAGTGACAGAGAAAGCCTGGGGGCCCCACCTGACAGCTCTCCTGGGTACACCTGGGCGTGCTCACAGGCGCACCGGAAGGGAAGGGAGCCAGGGGCTCGGAGAGGTGCGGTCACACCTGCCCAGGGTCACTCTGCTTGTGGATGGCAGAGCCCCAGACGGACCCTGGGCTGTCTCTCCATATCCTCACTGCTCTGCAGGACTTGCGCTGTGCCTGCCTGAGGGCCCACACAGGCAACGGGAAGCCCCATCTCGCTGGTCTTTGCGATGGTGCAGGGCGCTGGTCACCGCCTGGATGCCGGGGTGCTGCCCAGCTCTCCCTCTTTGCTGGCTGGCAGCAGGGGTGGTCAGGACAAGGACAAGGGTGTCTGGTGGCAGCAGAGCCCTGCTGGAGTGGCTGGGCCGTGGACTAGGGGGAGGAGGACCCAGGCTGGTCGGGGCCTGGGTGCACTCACCCCTCAGTGCCTTGTTTCCACTTTTTTTTTTTAAGATTTTTTATTTATTTATTTGACAGGTAGAGTTACAGACAGTAAGAGAGAGACAGAGAGACAGAGAGACAGAGAGAAAGGTCTTCCTTCCGTTCGTTCACTCCCCAAATGGCCACTATGGCCGGAACTGCACCGATCCAAAGCCAGGAGCCAGGAGCTTCCTCCCGGTCTCCCATGCAGGTGCAGGGCCCATGCACTTGGGCCATCCTCCACTGTCTTCCCGGGACTAGAACCGGCACCCATATGGGATGCCGGCGCCGGAGGCGGAGGATTAACCTGGTGCGCCACCACGCTGACCCCTGTTTCCACTTTCTGTAAAAATTAGATTCATTCATTTGATATTTGTTAGAATGACAGAGAAATCTTCCATCCGCTGGTGCATTCCCAAATGGCAGCGATGGTCGGGGCCGGTCCAGGCCGAGGCCAGGAACCTGGAACTCCATCCAGGTCTCCCCTGTGGGTGGCAGGAGCCCCAGTACTTGAACCTTCCCCTGCGGCCTTCCCAGGGGCATCAGCAGCAAGGAGCTGTCTCGGAAGAGGAGCAGCCAGGACTTGAACCAGCGCTCCAGTGTGGGACGCCAGTGTCCCGAGCAGCGTCCCGGTGCCCGCCCCAAAAGCGTTTTCTGCCACCTAGAAAAGTGCCCCCAGTCCCCCGCACCTGCTGCCTTCCCTTCAGGTGTGCCCAGGGGAGCCGTGAGGTGGGGGTGTGCCCCGACGGACCCCCCTGCACACCGGAGCTGAGGGCTTTCTCTGCCACTCAGGGGCCGTGTGAGGCCGGGCAAGTAACCTCTCCCTGAGCTTCGTCTCTGTGCCTGTGAATCGGGCGAGAGGAGCCTTGCCCAGTCTCCAAGAGGAGGAGACTCTGCCCCCGCTGCAGCGCGGAGGAACCCGAGGGCTTTACGCTGGGCAGAGCCGGCCCTGGAGAATCAGGTCCAGAGAGGCAGGAAGAAGACGGGGCGGCGGGGAGCCTGCGGGCGCAGGGGCAGGGGCGGCTGTGCAGCCGTGCGTACGCTCGGTGACTTCGGTGTGCATTTTACCACAACACAGAGAAAACAGAAACACAGGCACACAACGGCGGGCGCCGGCTCCTGTGAGGACCCGGGGCGTGGCCCTCAGCCTCACGGGGAGCTGCTCTAGCTCTGGCAGGTCCCTGCCTGGGGCTCCCTCTGCTTCCGCAGGGCAGGAAGAGGGAGGGCCCGGGCCACATCCCCCTGAAGCTGCTGCCCTGCTCGCCCCCACCCTCGGCCACGCCCTTCTCACCCCAGCCGCCTCCCCTCCCGGCCTCTCTCAGGGTGCAGCTCCAAGTCTGCTGAGCACCTGCTGTGTCCTCTGGGGGCACCTGGCCTGGCCCCACCCTAAGCCAAGCACCTTAAGTGCATTAGATTCCAGGGACTCTTGGCAGCAGCCCTGGGAGTTGCTGGCCCAGCAGGAGCCCAGGCCCACCTCAGTGCTGCTTCCTCCATCCTCAGTGTGAGGGGAAACAGCCCCATGGCCCAGGCAGGGGCCCTGCAGGCCCTCTGACCGCCTGCCACCACCTGTGGGGGCCTCACCGTGGGGCGGGGGCCCGGCAGGCCCTCTGACCACCTGCCACCGCCTGTGGGGGCCTCACCGTGGGGCGGGGGCCCGGCAGGCCCTCTGACCGCCTGCCACCACCTGTGGGGGCCTCACCGTGGGGCGGGGGCCCTGCAGGCCCTCTGACGGCCTGCCACCGCCTGTGGGGGCCTCACCGTGGGGCGGGGGCCCGGCAGGCCCTCTGACCACCTGCCACCGCCTGTGGGGGCCTCACCGTGGGGCGGGGCCCCTCTAGCCCCAGCAGCCCCTGGATTCGGTGCATGCACCCTCTTGTCTCATCCTCCCTGAACTCCCATCAGAGAGGGACAGCGACTTGTCCAGAGTTGCATAGCAGAGGTGAGGAGGAGACACTAACGCGGCTTGGGGTGACCCCTCCTCCGGACAGGTGCCCCTCACGAGGGCCTGAGTTCAGTCCTGGGCCTTCTTAGCCACGTGACCAGCCCAGGCTCTGCCTCTGGACTGAGCACCCAAGGCAGGGGACACGCCTTAGTCACTTTGATTGCGTCCACAGGACCCAGCCAAGCACTGAAGGAAGTCCAGGACGTGCTGTGAGGCTGGGCGGAGTGGGGACAGGGCAGGGCAGAGTCAGACCTGTAGGGGAGGGGCTCCTTCCCACCCTGGGCGGTGTCTTCCCCCTGAGCCTCAGGGTGATCACCTGTGCCCACTGCCAGGAGCCTGGGTGTTCACCCCTCCTCCGCAGAGAGCCTGGCTAGGCGACCACATCCTGCCTGGACAGAAACTGCCCCCACCCCAAGGGCCGGCTCCCCGCCCCGACAGGCTGCCGCTGGCCCTCCGGCTTCTCTGGCAAGGCCCTCCTTCCTTCCGGCCCCCAACCCCTGGGCCCCCGCCCTGGATGAGGACTCGGAGCCAGGAAGCCAGGTCTCTGATTCACAGCCCTCAGCGAGCACCCCTCTGCTTCCCCGGAGTGTGGGTGGGGTGCGGCTCCAGCCGGTCATTAAAGGGCCTGGGCCTTCCTGTGGGCCAGGCGCTCCTCTGGCCTCCCCAGGAGGGCTGGCCCTGGGCTGGAGCCGCCAGCCCGGGGCGGGTGGTGGTGTCTGCTGGCCCTGCAGTGACCTGCGCTCTGGAAGCTCCGGGCTGAGGCTGGGAAACTGGCCTCCCGGGCCCGAGACCATGGGCAGGTGCGGGGCCAGCCCTGCGCAGTGGCATGGACCCAGCAGTAGAAGGAAGGGCCTGCCGGCTTGGCGTCAGCCCTGCCACTGGGCAGCAGCGCGGCCTTGGGCAGGCGGCTTTGCCTCCCCCAGCCTGCGTTCCCCCCAAGTCCTTCCTCCCGGACATCCGAGAGATTCCATGAATGCCCGCGTGGGACGTGTGTGCCCCATGCCCGGGCCCTTGGCGGCTGCTGTGGCCTTCGTGACAGGCCGCCTCTGCTCTGTCCCCAAGCTGCCTGCCTCACACCGGGCCTGGGGCTGCTTCCCGTCCTGCCTGTCCCCGGGCATCCCAGGAGGCGCTCGGGGTTTACAGAGGTCCTGCCCAGGAGGTGTGCCTTACCACAGTCCTTAGTGACGCCCGTCATCCTAGCTCCAGGTTGACACAGGAATTCACAGTTTGTCTTAGAAATCCAGACTCCGGCTTGGAAACCAGTGCAAAGTGAAAGCACGGTTGTGTTTTTAAAACCACACAGGAAGGACCCCCGCGTGGACCTGGCGCCGTTGTCCGCTTTTCCAAATGTTCCCTGGAATACCCACTTACTTCCCCTCTCGTGCCCGTCCTGCAGGGCGCTGTGAGGACAGCCTCCCCGGGCAGGTGACGGTGGCCGGCCCAGGACAGAGCTCCTCCGCGCGCTCACCTGACTGCGCGCTCACCTGACTGCGCGCTCACCTGACCGCGCGCCGCCCTTCCCAGATGCGGCTCCAGGCCCGCTGTCTCCCAGACCCAGCCTTCGTTAGAGCCGTCGGAGCCACGTGTTAGACAAGGGGTTCCCAGGCACCCGAGCGGGGCGGACTCGGGGCAGAAGCGGCTCTGTGGTTTCTCATTCCTTTCTCTGCTCGCCGCCAGAGAGGGTTTTTCAGGGGCCAGGCCCAGCCATGTCACCCAGCCTGGGCGTGGTGGGATGGACAGGGCAGGCGTGTGCTCTCTCCGTGGGCCAGGAGCCTGTCTGACGGGCTGTGTGTGGCCTTCCGCTCTGCAATCACGTACATGCACACATGTGGGGCGGCGTGCACGTGTGTGGAACTTCCCGCTGTTCGCAGGTGAGCGTGTGGGCAGTGCCCCTGCGTCTGCTGTGCGCGTACCTTGAGAAGCCCCTCCGCCCTGCGCTGTCTGTAGTCATCAGGTGGGTGGACTCGCAGCTGGAATCCCAAACACTCTTACTGGAAGGCAAAGGGCACCGCGGGGCACGGCGAGGCCGCACTGGCTGGCTGTCCAGTGAGGAGGCTGCCCCCCCCACGGTTTCCCGGCCGACGGGCGACCGCATGATTCCTGCTGAAGGGCCAGCGGTTGGCTGCCAGCCTGGAGGTGGAATTTTCGGGCACTGGCGGGGTTGTCACTGTCTTCTTCCCCTGACCCCCCTGGATTGCGGGAAGGCAGAGCCCCACCCCACTGTGGTAACACCCCCGCCGTGGTAACCCTCCCTCCGGGTTCCTTGCAGGTGGAACCATGATTCCGGTGACGGAGCTCCGCTACTTTGCGGACACGCAGCCGGCGTACCGGATCCTGAAGCCGTGGTGGGACGTGTTCACCGACTACATCTCCATCGTCATGCTGATGATCGCCGTCTTCGGGGGCACGCTGCAGGTCACGCAGGACAAGATGATCTGCCTGCCTTGCAAGTGGGTCACCAAGGACTCCTGCAACGACTCCTTCCGCAGCTGGGCAGCCCCCAGCCCGGAGCCCACCTACCCCAACTCCACCATCCTGCCGGCCCCTGACGCGGGCCCCACGGGCATCAAGTACGACCTGGACCGGCACCAGTACAACTACGTGGACGCCGTGTGCTACGAGAACCGGCTGCACTGGTTTGCCAAGTACTTCCCCTACCTGGTGCTGCTGCACACCCTCATCTTCCTGGCCTGCAGCAACTTCTGGTTCAAGTTCCCGCGCACCAGCTCGAAGCTGGAGCACTTCGTGTCCATCCTGCTCAAGTGCTTCGACTCGCCGTGGACCACGAGGGCCCTGTCCGAGACGGTGGTGGAGGAGAGCGACCCCAAGCCGGCCTTCAGCAAGATGAACGGCTCCATGGACAAGAAGTCGTCGACCGTGAGCGAGGACGTGGAGGCCACCGTGCCCATGCTGCAGCGGACCAAGTCGCGGATCGAGCAGGGCATCGTGGACCGCTCGGAGACGGGCGTGCTGGACAAGAAGGAGGGGGAGCAGGCCAAGGCGCTGTTCGAGAAGGTGAAGAAGTTCCGGACGCACGTGGAGGAGGGGGACATCGTGTACCGCCTGTACATGCGGCAGACGATCATCAAGGTGATCAAGTTCGCCCTCATCATCTGCTACACCGTCTACTACGTGCACAACATCAAGTTCGACGTGGACTGCACCGTGGACATCGAGAGCCTGACGGGCTACCGCACGTACCGGTGCGCGCACCCGCTGGCCACGCTCTTCAAGATCCTGGCGTCCTTCTACATCAGCCTGGTCATCTTCTACGGCCTCGTCTGCATGTACACGCTCTGGTGGATGCTGCGGCGCTCGCTCAAGAAGTACTCGTTCGAGTCGATCCGCGAGGAGAGCAGCTACAGCGACATCCCCGACGTCAAGAACGACTTCGCCTTCATGCTGCACCTCATCGACCAGTACGACCCGCTCTACTCCAAGCGCTTCGCCGTCTTCCTGTCGGAGGTGAGCGAGAACAAGCTGCGGCAGCTGAACCTCAACAACGAGTGGACGCTGGACAAGCTGCGGCAGCGGCTGACCAAGAACGCGCAGGACAAGCTGGAGCTGCACCTGTTCATGCTCAGCGGCATCCCGGACACGGTGTTCGACCTGGCGGAGCTGGAGGTGCTCAAGCTGGAGCTGATCCCGGACGTGACCATCCCGCCCAGCATCGCCCAGCTCACGGGCCTCAGGGAGCTGTGGCTGTACCACACGGCGGCCAAGATCGAGGCGCCCGCGCTGGCCTTCCTGCGCGAGAACCTGCGGGCGCTGCACATCAAGTTCACGGACATCAAGGAGATCCCGCTGTGGATCTACAGCCTGAAGACGCTGGAGGAGCTGCACCTGACGGGCAACCTGAGCGCCGAGAACAACCGCTACATCGTCATCGACGGGCTGCGCGAGCTGAAGCGCCTCAAGGTGCTGCGGCTCAAGAGCAACCTGAGCAAGCTGCCGCAGGTGGTGACGGACGTGGGCGTGCACCTGCAGAAGCTGTCCATCAACAACGAGGGCACCAAGCTCATCGTCCTCAACAGCCTCAAGAAGATGGTGAACCTCACCGAGCTGGAGCTGATCCGCTGCGACCTGGAGCGCATCCCCCACTCCATCTTCAGCCTGCACAACCTGCAGGAGATCGACCTCAAGGACAACAACCTCAAGACCATCGAGGAGATCATCAGCTTCCAGCACCTGCACCGCCTCACCTGCCTGAAGCTGTGGTACAACCACATCGCCTACATCCCCATCCAGATCGGCAACCTCACCAACCTGGAGCGCCTCTACCTGAACCGCAACAAGATCGAGAAGATCCCCACGCAGCTCTTCTACTGCCGCAAGCTGCGCCACCTGGACCTCAGCCACAACAACCTGACCTTCCTGCCCGCCGACGTCGGCCTGCTGCAGAACCTCCAGAACCTGGCCGTCACGGCCAACCGGGTGAGTGGCCCGGCCGCGGGTGCCCACGCGGGAGGGCGGCCCCCGGAGGCCCGGGATGGGAGTCCACCCCCATGGCTCCCACGGCCACCTGGAGGGGGCGTGCGCGGGGAGGGCTTCCCACACCAGGGCTGGGGAGCCCACGTTTGCTGCTGAGTTCTCCTCCTGCCAGAATGCTGGCGGGAAGGGGGGGTGGGCTGTCCCCGAGCTTACTCTGAGCCAGGCCCACGGTTCTCTCCTGGTGCTGGGCCGTGCACGTGGGACGGCCTGGAGCTGTCCCCAAGCACATTTGGAGCTGGGGGGCTATTCTGGGTCCACCAGGGACAGAAACGGTGTGCGTGGCCGCTGCTGCTGCCTGAGGTGACCGGCACTGCTCACGCCGCCCTCCCCTCCCCTCCCCTCCGCGTTGGGCGGTGGTAAAGGACAGAGGTAGGCTTGATGGGACCGGGTTGTCACCCTCTGCTTTTGTGGAAAGGAAATTTTGCAAACCTCTGGGGGCCGGGTGTGGGAAGCCCCGCCCTGGAGGTGCTGCCGAGACTCTGGGTGGCCACGTGCACCTGTCTCTCGCCCCGCCTCAACCCTGGGGTTGAGGGCAGGGTACTCCCGGGTTTGTGGTCCAGCTTGCTGTGCATGAAGCCACGGCCCCTGGGGGAGCCTCCCCGCCCTGCTCTCGGGTGGAGAATGTCGTGGCGGGGGAAGCCCAAGGCCCGGCCCCCGAGACCCAAGCAGAGAGCAAATACCTCAGCCGTGCTGGGCGCCCCGTTGGCTTCCCGGGTGCGTGCCCGGGTCGTCCTGTGTGGGGTGCGACTGGGAGGGCAGTAGCCCCTGCTCGGGCCCCTCCCCGGCATCACTCACACCCCAGCCAGCTCAGAGCCTTCCTGCTTTCTCCCCCACGTCTCCCGCTGCAAGCCAGCCCGTCCTGTCCTCCACGGAGCTGGCATTGTGACAGAGCTTATCTCGGCCCCTGAATCGTGACTCAGGAGGGAGTGTACACGGGCAAGGGTCACCTCTCAGCTGGTTTGGCTCCCACTGTTCAGGAAAACCAGAGTCCCCGAGGAGAAGCCACCCTGGGGAAGCACCAGTTGACCGTCTGATGAGTGGGGTCCGGGGTTCGGGGTGAGCACATGGCTCCTGCGCCGCGGGGCTGGGCTGGGTTGCCCATAGGGCTCAGTGCTGTTCCCGGAGCCTCCAGCCTGCCCCCTCCTGTCCTGCACCCCGGCTCCTGGCGCAGAACTTGCCTGTTAGTGTCACGCCTGGTGGCTGAGGTCACCCTCAGGAAGGCAGCTGGCGGCAGCCCCCCTCCCCCGTCCCAGAGGAAGGAGACCCTCTGGACGCCGTGTTTAGCGCAGGCTTAATCACATCCTGTCCTGCCCTGGGCCCTGGAGGCCTTTGTAGGGAAGAAGGGCCCGTGGGCCAGTCGCAGGCCGGCCCCTCGTTTGGGCTGAGACCTCGGCCCCTCTGTGTCCGCACTCCTGGGCGCCCTGGCTCTGGGCAGCCGCTGTGGACCGTGGTGGGCGGGGAGTGCATGCGGCGAGCGCACACTCGCACCTGTTCATGCGTCCCTGCGCTGGTGGGCTCCGGGACTCGGCAAACACAGTCGGGCTGTGGAGCTGGCAGCAGGGGCGTGGGGTGAACAAGACGCACAGTAGCGTGGCGGTGGGCGCACAGTCCAGCCGGAGCGCTTAGGAGCACAGAGCAGTGGCCCCGGGAGGTGGGGGAGGAAGAGGGAGAGTGGAATGTTCTGGCTGGGAGGGGCAGGGAGGCCTCTGTGGGGGAGGGGCAGAGAACTGAGCCCCTGGACTGTGGACTCCCCTGCAGGGCGGGCGGGGGAGGCCCCTGCCCCCACCTCATTTCACCGAGGCTGCCCTGGCTCCCGTGTGCCCGCCTGACACGCTCACTGGGGTCCTGCGGAGGGAGTAAAGGGAAGAAGGGATGAATGAGGTGACCCTTAGCTCCCAGAGGTCACTCATGCTGTGGCCCTGGGGTGGGAGTGAGAGGCAGCAGAGGGGGTGCGGCCTGAATTGACCAAGGCTGCTGGGGACGGAGAGCGTGGAGCGAGGGTCCGCAGGAAGTGGGTGAGGGAGCCGTCTGGGGGAGGAGGAAGCCCAGGTTTTCAGAGGTGGGGATGTGTCCCAGCCAGGGGCCCACCTTGAACGCGCCTAAAGCTGGGGGCAAAGTCCCCTCCAGACTTGACACCGTCCCCAGGGACGGGAGGCTGCCCCGAGCTTCAGGTGGGTGATGGCAGCGGAAGACCAGGCCGGAGTGGGCGGGCACACAGTGCGCAGGGGTCAGAGGAGGCGGGGTCAGGTCTGCCGGGTTGGAAATGGCTGACCACCTGGGCCAGGCGGTCACAGGTGAATGGCCGCAGAAGCCGGCTGGCCTTGGCGCTGAGACAGGCAGCTCGCAGAGCCCGGGAGCGAGGGAAAGTTGTCTTTTTCAAAGACCAGAGGCCTGAGGCATTTCAGTGCAAATGGGGGAGCAGAGAGGGGAAGGTGGGGCTCGGGTGACGGGTGACGGCCCCATCGGTGGATGCACTGTGGAGGGGGGGAAGGATGGGTGTGGCCACGGCAGGGGGCGAGGGGGGGTGGCCACGGTGGGGGGGGCGGGGCACTGAAGATGCCTCCTCTCTTCCCAGTGCTGTCTGAGAGAAGCGGGGCTTACCTCCTGTCCCCTACTGCACGCCAACTCCCCGGCCTCAGTCTGCTCAGCGGGAAAGTGGGGACAGCGACAGAGCCCCCCCAGCCCCTGAGGGTGGTTGCGGTGCCGGTTCCTGGTCACCCTTCTGTCTGGCGGAGGGTGCGTCAGGACCGGCAGGTTCAGGAAGAGCTCACACCCCCACCCCAGCTCCCCGCCCAGCCGGCAGCGTGGGCCATGGAGCCAGGTTCAAGTCCTGCCTCTGCCACGGACCTGCCGTTTGCTTCTTCAGGGCCTGGTGACCCCTCTGTAAAATGCAAAGAAGTGTGCAGGGCCTCGATGGGGTCACGTGGGTTCAGTGAGCCCGCAGCATCGGTGCCCCGAGGGAGCCTGGTGCTGCCTGTTACGTGGAGGGGGGCCTCCATGTGGCCAGGACCGGCCCCTGGCTCTCATGTCACCTGGTGACCTGACCGAGACCCTGAGGCCCAGGACACAGCTGGGATGCTCACCCCTGTCCATCAGTGCCCCCCACTTCTCAGAAAGTTAGCAGGGGGGGATTTTTCTCAGCATAACCCATGCTTTCCCCAGTTTTTCTGAAGCCAGGCAGGGGTAACAGCCTGGCTCCCATTGAGCTGGGGGAGAAGGGGTGGTGGCCACTGCCAGGGTGACGTGTCCCCTCAGGGCCCTGGGTGCTGGGACCGCGGGAGCCAGGCAGGCCCCGTCAGCCCCTGGGAGCCCACAGCCCAGAGACAGCAGATGCAGGGGTCGGTAGTGTGGGGAGGACACGGGTGCCAGGGGACCCAGGAAGCGCTGCAGGGGGTGAGGGCAGAGCTGAGATCTTGCGTGCGGTGGACGCAGACTTTGGCCCAGATTGTACGGGTGCCAGGACTCCGGGGCCCGACCTCGGGAGGGTCAGAGAGGGTGAGGTGGAGCCCGGGGGGCCCGGCCTGGCCGCCCTCCTCACTCCCGGTCCCTCCGCCCGGCCTGGCCGCCCTCCTCACTCCCGGTCCCCCCGCCCGGCCTGGCCGCCCTCCTCACTCCCGGTCCCCCCGCCCGGCCTGGCCGCCCTCCTCACTCCCGGTCCCTCCGCCCGGCCTGGCCGCCCTCCTCACTCCCGGTCCCTCCGCCCGGCCTGGCCGCCCTCCTCAATCCCAGGTCCCTCCGCCCGGCCTGGCCTGCCCTCCTCACTCCCGGTCCCTCCGCCCGGCCTGGCCGCCCTCCTCACTCCCGGTCCCTCCTGCCCCCCAGATCGAGGCGCTCCCTCCGGAGCTGTTCCAGTGCCGGAAGCTGCGGGCCCTGCACCTCGGCAACAACGTGCTGCAGTCCCTGCCCTCGCGCGTGGGCGAGCTGACCAGCCTGACGCAGATCGAGCTGCGGGGCAACCGGCTGGAGTGCCTGCCCGTGGAGCTGGGCGAGTGCCCGCTGCTCCGGCGCAGCGGCCTGGTGGTGGAGGAGGACCTGTTCAACACGCTGCCGCCCGAGGTCAAGGAGCGGCTCTGGAGGGCCGACAAGGAGCAGGCCTGAGCCGACGGCCCGCGCAGGACCCCGCCGCGCTCCCGGGCAGCCGCCCCGGCCTTGCAGGGCAGGAGCCTGGGCCGGACGTGCGAGGAGGACGCGGACAGGACTGGCGTGCGAGGGGCTGGCCCCTTTTCTCCCTCGGAGACTCACGCCCCCCAGGGCAGGCGCCTGCTGGGGAGACCAGAGACCGAAGCAGACTCAGCAGTATTTGGACAATCAGGGTCTCCGCGGAAGGCCACGGCTGCCCCAGAGGCGGAGCCCACACCAGAGGCGCTGGTGGTATTTATCTCTCCACTCGCTGGCTCGCAGGCGCCTCCCTCCAGACAACTTGCACATTCCCAAGAGAGTTCGGCTCGGGTGGGCTGTGTCTCCTTTCCTCACTCGGCAGCAGGCAGGGACGTGAGCAGGGGGTCACCCCGCCGTGCAGGCCGGGCCTGGGGCTGGCCTCATCAGTTTCTGATTTTTTTTTTTTGAAGTAAAAAAAGAAGTGTTTTTTTTTTTTTTTAAGCTTTGAAAATGAATGGTTTGGGTATTAAAAAGAAAAAAAAACTTAAAAACACACACACACACAGAGGACACTATAGGCCAGTGAGCACAGGTCTCAGGTGGGGTGGCCGGGTCCCTGGACGCCGCGGCAGACCCGGGGTTGTATTTCCTGTCCCCGGGCGGGGGGGGGGGGTGCAGGGGGCAGGGTGTCTCCCGTCTGCCGTGACTTGGTCCCCAGGCGCAGTTTGTTTCTCTACTCTCCTGGGGCGGGGATTTTTGTTGTTGTTATTGGTGGTTTTTTTTTGGTGGGGGGGGCCTTTTGGTGTCTTGTTTTCTTTCTCCTCCATATGTCTTGGCAGGCGCTCACTTCTGTGGCTGTCAGCCAAAGAGAATGTTCTGGAGCTGCCAAGAGGGAGGAGACGCGGGGTGGCCAGTCCCGGGATGAACGGTGCTCCACACCCCCCCCCCCGCCCCGCCCCTCCACGCACAGTGTTAGGAGACAAGAGGAGCTGCTTCGCCCGGGCTCTGCGTCCCGCCTCGTGTGTCGTGGGCTTGCTCAGTGCCACCACCAGCCCCTGCTGCCTGCACAGGCCCTGTCGCCACGGGGGCAGCCTCACCGTGCTGGCTTCCACGCCGGTATTGCTCCCAGGCGCTGGCCTCGCACACTGTCAGGCCTGGGGGCGGGAAGCTCCCCTGCTTCAGAGCGGCCACTCGGGTCCCTGCCTTAGATCACCCACACGGACACTAAGGCACGTTTTAGCGTCTCCCGTCTCAATGATTCTGTCCGTCCGTCTGTCCATTTGTGTTTTCCCTGCGTTGTGTCATTGGATGTACCCCTCGGAAACAATGCACACTAGCCTGTGGCAACCACAAAGCAATCCGTTACATGTGGGTCTGAACTCGCAGAGTTCAAATATCAAATAAATGTGTAACAGAGAGGAGGAGCCTGCGGAGTGCTGCGCATCCGGGACCCCGCCCTCCCCGCTCGGCTGCCTGCCGGGCCCTCTTACCTGGTGCGAGCGGCCAGTTCTCTCCTGGGAATCGGAGCGCCTGAGGCCGTGACATGGACAGAGCATCTGCTGTGTGCCAGGCCTCCCGGGGCCAGCACACTCAGGCCCGTGGTGGTCCCGGTCTTCCTCCCAGCTCAGTCTTCCCCTGTGTGAGACTTGGCGGACCCCTCCCATGCGCCCATACGCCCACCTGAGCAGTGGACAAGCCCACTCTGTACTCTCCGAGCGCCAGGTTTCTGCAGAGGTGGGGTTGACAGTCACGGGGTGGGGGTGGGGGTGGGGGCGGGGGCTGGCCTGCCTCCCGGGCCCTTAGGCGCCTGCTGAAGGTCCTGGGACCCCAGGCAGAGACGAGGAGGACAGGGCTGCCTGTTCTCGCCGCATCTGTGAAACCAGCAGGGCCCGGGCCATGGCCATGGTGACGATGGGGGCCCGGGCTCCCAGTGCCGTCAGCGGCCTGCGTCCTCCTCTCGGACCAGGAACTGTGCACTGGGCTCGCGGGGCCTGCACCAGGGGTCTGGGTGAAGAACAGGCCGTCAGGTCTGCCTGTCACTCAGAGATGAGGCCTGAGCTGCTGCTTGGGCACTCCGGAACAAGCCACTGCCTGTCCTTCGCTCCACGGCGACCCTGGGCCTGAGCAGGACTCCCTCTTGCCTCTGACAGGTGCTGCGCAGCTGGCCTGCCCCCCCTACCAAGACCCTCCTTTGCATCTGCGGAAGAGGGCTTCCCCTGCTGTCCGGCCTGGCTCCCTCCCCACCCCCTCCACTCCCGCCCCCCAGGGCCCGGAGCAGGAGGGCTGGATCTGGAGCTGGTTAGCTTCTGGGAAAAACAACAGTGTGGAAACACCGCCCACCCACTTCCCAAAGCTGAACAAACAGCGGAGGCCGGCCTCCTCCACCCCCCCCCCCCCCCAGCACGTTGTGCTCTGCCTGAAGCCACAGCGGCGATCTTTTCTTCATTAGAACAGCCATTTGGGAAATGTGGGCAGGCTGAAAAAAGGTTTTTAAAGGTTTTTATATAAGCAGTCCTCAAAAAGTTCATGGGAAAAAAAAGCATATTATTATTAAACTGTTTTGCACCAAAATAAGTTTATCTGCTAATTGCACTTTCCCATGAACTTGGGGAAGCACCCGTGTTTTCCACACGGATGAGCCCCCGTGGACCTGTGGACGCCGGGGAGGCACGTGCGGAGCCGGCCCGGGCCAGCGTCCTCAGCCCCACACGGGCGGGGCTCCTTCTGTGGGCCCCAGATCACAGGTGGGACAGTAAAGGCCCCCAGGTCTGGAATGCCTACTCGCTCTGCCTCCCTGAGTCTCTCCTAGTTGGGTAGGGGTCTCCGGGGCCCAACCCGAAGGGCGCTCCCGGCTCCCCGCACCCTCTGCCTGTGGATTTGGTAGTTGGTTGCATCCGAAGGGCCGGGGACGGCTGGGAACATCCTGCCCCTGGCTGACTCGGCGCCTCCCTCTCCACCCGGCCCAGTCCCCGAGTGGGGGGGCTCACCCCTCCCCCAGGCCTTCCGGAAGCCTGGACAAAGCAGCACCATGGCCCAGAAAACAACACTTGACTTGGGGCCAGTGTCCCCGAGACGCCCTGTCCCTTTGCCGTTCACGGCGTCATTTCTGGGAAGGCCGAGGCCAGCGTTTTAGAGCCAGAGTGGCCCTGTGGGCGGAGCAGACTGGAAGAAGGGAGGGGTTTGTGCTCTGCTCTGCCCCTGGCCTCCCCCTCTCCTCCCCCCAGCCCCACTCCCTGGCCCCTTCCTCTTTCTAAGCTACCCCTTACTTTCTGCCTTGCTCTGTAAAACACCCAGGCCGGCTCCGCCCTGCTGGCCCCCAGGCCCCGTCTGCACCTCGCCCCTCCTAGATGTTGATACCAGGGGACTTTCTCATCCTCACTCAGGCATTCCTCCGAGTCCCAGTGGCTGAACCTCAGGTGTCCCCGTCACCATCACCCCGCACCAGCCCGGGGCTCTCAGTGCCTGCTGAACCGCAGTGGTCTCTGGAAGGAGCCCCAGGGGGGCTGTCTAGTTCCAGGGAGGAGGTAGGAGAGGGCTAATCCTGGATCAGTGGGGGCTGGGGGCTGGGGCACGGCAGATCCAGGGCAGGAGTGAGGGGGGGCGCAGAAGGCTGGGCTGGGGAGGAGGGGCTCAGGCTGGAGGCACCGGCTGCTGTGTGTTTCTAAGGAGAGGCCTAGGTGGCCGGGTTGGGTGTTCTTTGGGTAGGAAAGGGTTAAGCACTCCTGGGCTTCCCAGGCTGCAGCCAACCTCCCCTCTTGAACTTTCTCCTCCCCTGAACTGGACACAGTGCCCAGAGCCACCCAGCGCTGTCCAGAGCTCCCCATGGCCTGCCTGAGCCCCTCGCAGCTCCAGAAGGTAGGGGCTTGCAGGGAGGGCGCTGGGAGGGTCAGGTTGGGGGGATCCTCCCAGCCCCCCAGTACTCGCCCACCCCTTGCGTTTCCCACAAGCCCAGAGGCCTGAGGCCGCAAAGTCAGCCCTGAACTTTACACACACACAGCCCCTGGCGTGCAGCTCCCAGGGCCCAAAACCAGAATAAAGCAACTGGATCCGCCAGTCCGGCGCTGGCCTGGGCCTGGGCAGCTTGGCCGGCCTGAAAGGCTACACCTGGGAGTTAGAGCAACACAGCCTTTCAAAAAAACAAAACAAAGCCTGTAAATTCCTGCACGGAGACTTGACATCGTGGCCCAGACCCTAGAATCTTTGTTTTGTGTTCAAAGTCTGCCTGGACAGTGGAGACGCCACGGCGATCCCATCAGTCCATCGGCCGGGACGATCCGGGGCCAGCCAGGGGCTTCCCGCGGCGTGGTGAGCAGCGAGAAGCCGCACTGGGCTGACCTTGTGCTGGAGCCCTTGCGCCTACAAACAGCCCCCTCGCCTGGGGGCTCATCTCCAGAGTTCCCAGCCCCGTGCTGGCCAGCTCCAGCTCTAGGCAGCCGGCCCCCAGGTGGTCAGAGGTGGTCTGTGTGTGTCCCTGACGTGTGTCCCTGACGCACACACGGCTGCCCTGGGGAGAGAGCAGGGCCCGAGGTGTGAGCGCCCGGGTGTCCAGTGGGCGGCAGGCAGCTAGAACTGGGCGGGCATCCACCAGGGCGGGGTGGGGGAGGGGCAGGAGCTGGAACACGGTCGCTTTGTGGTGGGCGCCCCTGGGGGCCTCCCAGCTGCCAGGCCCCACCCCTCTGGGTAGCCTCAGGAAGAGGACTGGTCAGCATGAACCCCCCCCCCCCCGTGTGCTGTAACGCCCAGACCAGCCCCTGCCACCCTGCCCGCCCGCCCGTCCCCTGCCCTGCAACTGGAGACTCCACACATCCTGTTCCCTCCTCTGGAATTCTCTCCCCTTCCTGGGCACTTCCCAGTGACACTTGCCCCAGCCCCTCCCCCTCCTGCCTTGTTCGGCCTTTGGCCCCTGCCCTGGACCCAGTCTGAGACTGGGCTGCTCTGCAGGCAGCACCCCAGGCTTCCTTGTGATGGTCTCTCCGGCTCCAGAAGCCCAGTCAGTGTGCAGGGCAAGAGGGCAGGGTTGGAGAGAGAGTGGACTTCGGGCAAGCTCCTAGAAGGTTCTACCGCGCCTGGGAAACAAAATGTCAGCATTCAGAGAGGAAGAGGGCGCTACGGCAGTGAAGAGGAGGGCGTGGGGAGTGTTAACCAGGCACCAGCCCTTGCCGTGGGCAGGTGTAGGGGACCCAACTACCGGCCCCTCCCTGCGCGCAAGGGCAGAGGCGTGGGAGCCAATCAAATATGACCCCCGCTGCAGGCAGCGGGAGAGGAGGGAGAGGACCAGTGCACCACAGATAAGGGCAGAGGGAGGGAAGAGCCAGCCCGGGCCCCTGCTCCACCTGGGGAGCCTGTCTTATCGCAAACAAACTCGCTTTCCTCTCTCTCTCTCTCTCTCTCTCTCTCTCTCTCTCTCTCCTCATTTCTCTACTGAACAACAAGTCCACGGGCCAGGGGAAGCCACTCCCTGGAAGCAGGCTGCGACAAGTGTTAGTTGAATAAATGAGTGAGGTTATACTTCTGTGTGACACAAGCCCACCGCGGGGGGTGGGAGGGAGACCCTCTCCCCTTCCCCGTCTCCCCTCCTGTTCCACTCCGCTGAAACCCAGCAGCCGGCAGCAGCTGCTCCTCGCTAGGGGACAAGCCCCTCCGCCCATGGCTGGGGGATGGAGGAGTGAGCTGGACATGTGGTCGCACCTACGGTGGGGCAGCCGAGGGCAGGCAGAGCCTGAGGCTCCCTCCCGCCTGCAGTTCCGGGAGGATGGGTTCCTGGTGCTCGAAGGGTTCTTGTCTGTGGACGAGTGTGCGGCCCTGCAACAGAGGATTGGCCAGATAGTGGCCCGGATGGACGTCCCGCCCCACTGCCGCACCGAGTTCTCCACCCAGGAGGAGGAGCAGCTCCGAGCCCAGGTAGGTGCCTGGGGCAGGCAGGAGGTCTGACGGGGGCCCAGGCCCTGGGAGATCCACGAGACCCACGGCTCCTCCTGACAGCCAATCAGGCCCCAGCATCCCCCTGCCCTGCACCCGGCTCCGCCCCCAGGGGCCTCTCCTTCCCTCCTCACCCCTCGCCCCAGCATGAGGGAGGCATCACTGTCCCCATCTCACAGGACAGAAAGACGGGCTCAGGTCACTTGCCACGAGTCAGGCAGTTAGCAGTGGGGAGAGTCAGGATTTTTGAAGTTTTAAATGTTCATTTATTTTCATCTACTTGGAAGGCGGAGCTACAGAGAGAGAGAGAGAGAGAGAGAGAGCGCTGTTGGCTCACTCCCCAAATGCCTGCAACAGCCAGAGCCAGGAGCCCCACCGGGGTCTCCCACGTGGGTAGCAGGGGTCCAGGTGCATTGGCAGGAAGCTGGATCAGAAACGGAGGAGCCAGGACTCAAACCGGCACTCCCGGGGCCGGCGCTGTGGCACAGTAGGTTAATCCTCCGCCTGCAGTGCCGGCATCCCACATGGGCGCTGTATCGAGTCCCAGCTGCTCCTCTTCCGATCCAGCTCTCTGCTGTGGCCTGGGAAGGCAGTAGAAGATGGCCCAAGTCCCTGGGCCCCTGCACCCGCGTGGGAGATGGGGAGGAAGCACCCAGCTCCTGGCTTTGGATTGGCACAGCTCCGGCCATGGCGGCCATTTGGAGAGAGAACCAATAGACGGAAGACCTTTCTCTCTGTCTCTCCCTCTCACTGTCTGTAACTCTATCTCTCAAATAAATAAATAAAATCTTAAAAAAAATTAAAACTGGCACTCCCAAGCGGCTGCACCACAGTGCACCCCCGGCCCAAGTCAGGATTTGAACTCGGATTCATCCGCCCCCAAGTCTGTGCTGTTCACAGCTCTGCCCCTGGCCCAAGTCAGGATTTGAACTCGGATTCATCCGCCCCCAAGTCTGTGCTGTTCACAGCTCTGCTGTGCTTCCTCAGTGGCCCCTGGGCAGCCCGTGGTTCTGCAGGGTCCACCTGCGTGAGCCGCAGCCCAGGCAGCCCCGGAGCTCCGGACGCTGCCACCCAGTGGCCTTGTAGCCCAAGGGACAGGACCCGGGACAGGTGCAGATGGGTGCGGTGAAGCCCAGGGCTGTCCCACACAGAGCTCCTCACCGGTCTGACCGCAGGCGTCCGCGCGGGGCGCTGAGCTCCGGTCCCTCGTGTTGGCGGGGCTCACTCACCCTCACGGCGAGGAGCTGCTGCCACCTGGTGGGCGCGAGGGGACCTACACACGGGGCGGCCGGCATTGAGAGGGAAGGGTTTCCCTGCACACCTGCCTTCCGGGTGAGGGAGTGGAGACAGGAGTCCCAGAGACAGGCCGCTGGACGGCCCACGGAGGGCGGGGCTGCCTGCCGAGAAGGCTCCAGGAAGCAGGGGATGCAGAGGTGGGGACCAGACGAGCAGAAGGCGCGCACGCCTCGGTTTATAACGCGTGCGAAGGCCTGGCACAGTGCCCAGGACTCGGTAAAACTCTCAGAATGCATGACCGATGTCGCAAAAAGCTGAAGTGGACATGAGACGGAGGGAGAGAGGGAGAGGGAGAGAGAGAAAGGAGAGGGACAGGGAGGGAGAGAGGGAGGGGAGGGGGGAAGAGAGGGAGGGAGAGAGAGAGGGAGAGGGGGGGAGAGGGAGAGAGAGAGGGAGATGGAGAGAAAGGAGAGGGAGGGAGAGAGGGAGGGGAGGGGGGGGAAGAGAGGGAGAGAGAGAGGGGGGGAGAGGGAGAGAGAGAGGGAGGGAGAGAGATGGAGGGAGAGAGAGGGAGGGAGAGAGGGGGGAGAGGGAGAGGAGGAGAGGGAGGGAGGGAGGGAGATGGAGGGAGAGAGGAGAGGGAGGGAGGGAGAGAGGGAGGGAGGGAGAGGGGAGGGGAGAGGGAAAGAGAAAGGGAGGAGAGGGAGAGAGAGAGAGGGAGCGAGGGAGGGGGTAGGGGGGAAGGAGAGATGGGTGTCCTGCCGTCTCCCTTTCACGCTGTTCTGCCTTGATGGTTCTGAGTTATTTGACAACTCTGTAGGCTGCACAAAACTGATAATAAGCGGCCGGTGCTGTGGCGTAGCGGGCAAAACTGCTGCCTACGGTGCTGGTATCCCATATGGGCGCTGGTTCAAGTCCCGGCTGCTCCACCTCCGCTATGGCCTGGGAAAGCAAAGGAAGATGGCCCAAGTCCCTGGGCCCCTGCACCCACGTGGGAGACCCGGGGGAGGCTCCTGGCTTCAGATCCTTTCAGCTCCGGCCATTGCGATCATTTGGGGAGTGAACCAGCCGACGGAAGACCTCTCTCTGCCTCTCCTCTCTGTAACTCTGCCTTTAAAATAAATAAAAAATCTTTTAAAAAAACTTATAATAAGGAAAGGCTAACCCATAGCAGTTTATTTTATTTTTTAAACATTTATGTATCCAATCCAAACCCGAGAGGTTCACCCAGGTCTCCCATGTGGGTGCAGGGGCCCAAGCACGGGCCATCTGCTGCTGCGTTCCCAGGTGCACTAATTAGCAGGGAGCTGGACCGGAAGTGGAGCAGCCGGGACTCGGGATGGTGGCTCCTTTGGAATGCTGACATCATCGAAGGCAGTGGCCTAACTCGCAGTACAGCAGCTCTGGCCCCACTAACATGATTTATTTATTTATTTAGTCAATTTATTTGAAAGGCGGACAAACACACACACACAAAGACACAGAAAGAGGAATCTTCCAGTTGCTGGTTCGCTCTCCCAACGGCTGGGGCAGCCAGCACCCAGCACCTCCTCCTGGGTCTCGCGTGTGGGTGGCGGGTCCCCAAGCGTTTAAGCCGCCACCTGCTTCCTCCCAGGAAGCCGGACTGGAAGCCGAGTAGCTGGAACTAGAACCGGGCGGTGCAGTGTGGGACACAGGTGTCCCAAGTGGCGGCTTAACCACTGAGCCACGCGCCTGCCCCTGCCGGAGCGGTTTTTGTGCGGAAGTGTACACACACGGTCAAAACCATTCTTGGAATTTGGAAATTCAGCCTTTTTCCAAGAGGATGATGTGCGGTGTGATCTAAGTGCAGCCGGCCATCAGCCCTGCCGTCACAAGGGGGCGCCACTAACGCTGGTTTTTTTTTTTTTTTTTTTTTTTTTTTTTTTTTTTTTTTTGACAGGCAGAGTGGACAGTGAGAGAGAGAGACAGAGAGAAAGGTCTTCCTTTGCCGTTGATTCACCCTCCAATGGCCGCCGCGGCCGGCGCACTGCACTTATCCGAAGCCAGGAGCCAGGTGCTTCTCCTGGTCTCCCATGGGGTGCAGGGCCCAAGCACCTGGGCCATCCTCCACTGCACTCCCTGGCCACAGCAGAGAGCTGGCCTGGAAGAGGGGCAACCGGGACAGAATCCGGTGCCCCAACCGGGACTAGAACCCGGTGTGCCGGCGCCGCTAGGCGGAGGATTAGCCTAGTGAGCCGCGGCGCCGGCCGTTTTTTTTTTTTTTTTTTTTTTTTTTTAATATTGCATTTTTGCATCCCATCACGGCTATAAGATCCCATCTGTGAATGCTGTACTGTACAACCATTCTGTTACCCACTTTAGGACAGAGTCATAATTCACACACGGAGCGGCCGTTTGGCCTAGTTAAGGATGCCTGTGTTGAAGATGGGCATTTCCCACAGGGTTAAGGTGCTGCATCCCATACCGGAGTACTGGGTTCGAGTCCCAGCAACTCCACTTCTTCTTCTTCTTCTTTTTTTTTTTTTAGGATGTATTTATTTTGAAAGCCAGAGTTACAGAGACAGAGACAGAGACAGAGGGAGGGAGGGAGGGAGGGAGAGAGAGAGAGAGATCTTCCATCTGTTGGTTCACTCTTCAGATGGCCGCAGTGGCCAGCACTGAGCAAGGCCAAAACCAGGAACCAGGAGCTTCAGCTGGGTCTCTCATGTGGGTGCAGGCGCCCAAGTATTTTGATCATCCTCCGCTGCTTTCCCAGGCCGTAGCAGAGAGCTGGATCAGAAGTGGAGCAGCCGGGACTCAAACCTGTGCCTATATGGGATGCCGGCGTCACAGACAGTGGCTTTACCAGCCATGTCACAAGGCCAGTCCCCCCAAGCTACTCCGCTTCTGATCGGCTTCCTACTAACGTGCACCCTGGGAGGCAGTCGATGATGGCTCAGCCACTGGGATCCGTGCCGCCCACTGGGAGATCCAGACTTTGTCCTGCTCTCCTGGCTTCAGCCTGGCCCGACACTGGCTGTTGTAGGCCTCTGGGGAGGGAGCCAGCGGGTGGAAAAGTCTCCCTCTGCTCTCTGCCTGTCAAATGAAATGAACAGAGTTGCTAAGAGACTGTGACACTTGCCTGTGTTCTGTATTGGCGTGCCTGGGTTTGGTCCCTGGCTCCAGCTTCCTGCTGATGGGGACCCCGGGATGCAGCCACGCTGACTTGGGGAGTTGGGTGCCTGCCATTGGTAGCTTCTCTTTTTTAAAAAATGCCTTTTTATTTTATCTTTGAAATAGTTTATTAGTTTATTTATTTGAAAAGCAGGGAGAGAGAGAGAGGGAGGGAGAGAGGGAGGGAGTGAGAGAAAGAGAGAGAGGGAGAGAGAGAGAGAATCTTCTGCCTGCTGGTTTACTTCCTACATGGTTAAAAGAGCAGGGCTTGGCTGGCGCCGTGTCTCACTAGGCTAATCCTCCACCTGTGGCGCTGGCACCCCAGGGTTCTAGTCCCAGTCAGGGCGCCGGATTCTGTCCTGGTTGCCCCTCTTCCAGGCCAGCTCTCTGCTGTGGCCCAGGAATGCAGTGGAGGATGGCCCAAGTGCTTGGGCCCTGCACCCCATGGGAGACCAGGAGAAGCACCTGGCTCCTGCCATCGGATCAGCGCCGTGCGCCGGCCGTGGCGGCCGTTGGAGGGCGAACCAACGGCAAAGGAAGACCTTTCTCTCTGTCTCTCTCTCTCTCACTGTCCACTCTGCCTGTCAAAAAAATAAAATAAAATAAAAAAATAAAAAAGCAGGACTCAGTCAGGCTGAAGCCAGAAGCCAGGAACTCCATCAGGGTCTCCCACATGGATGGCAGGGACACAAGCTCTTGGGCCATCTGCTGCTGCCTTCCCAGGCACGTCAGCAGGGAGCTGGATCGGAAGTGAAACAGCTGGGATTTGAACCGGCGTCCACTCAGGACACTGGAGTTACAGGCTTCAGCTGTAGCAGCTTCGCCACAAGGCTGGCCCCTCAGTGAGCCCCGTCTATGTGTCCATCTGGCCTTAACCCCATGTGAGTCCCGGGGTGCGTGCGTTGCGGTAAGAGGTTTGCAGGACATTCTGCGTTTGCAGCTTTGGGCACTGCTTTCAGGCACTTGGGGTTCCAGGTCACTGCCTGTGCCTCTGGACAAGGCCAAGAAGCCCCCTGGGGAGGGAGGCACCCGAACCCTCTTCTTCTGACCCTGGGCTCCCTCTCCGTCCCTACTGTCCGCTCCCCACAGGGCAACTCTGACTACTTCCTGAGCAGCGGCGACAAGATTCGATTCTTCTTTGAGAAATGCGTTTTTGACGAGAAAGGTTTGGAGACGTGGGGGAGCCCTGTTGGGGGCGGGCTGGACTCGGGGACCGGACGCCCGGGGCCGGGTGGGCACGGGGGCCAGCAGCCTCCCTCTCTTCTACCTCTACCTGTTCTTTGTGTCACAGGGAAGTTCCTGGTCCCTCCGGAGAAATCGGTCAACAAAATCGGCCATGGTGAGCCGGGGCCGCGGGAGCACGAGAGGAACTGTGGAAACTGAAGCTAGGGCGTGAGGGAGTCGTCCTTGAAGTCCATAGTGAGCGAGAGGCCAGGCAAGAGGCATTTCTGCCGAGGTCCTTCTAATCCCGTGGTGCTAAGCCCGTGACACAGCGGCCACGGTCCCAGGAGGTCACAGCAGTCCCCCGCACAGATGGGCGTGGGCAGGCTCCTCCACTTGCGTTTGCCTGCCCTGGTGGGGTCTGGGTCCAGGCAGTGGGGAGGCTGGCATGTTAATGTGGCCCCTATCCTGAGATCCCGAAAACCAAGGGGGAAATTCTCCCCTGCCCTTTTTTTTTTTTTTTTGACTGGCAGAGTTAGACAGTGAGACAGAGAGAAAGGTCTTCCTTTGCCGTTGGTTCACATCCCAAGTGGCCGCTACAGCCGGCGCTTCGCGCCAATCTGAAGCCAGGAGCCAGGTGCTTCTCCTGGTCTCCCATGGGGTGCAGGGCCCAAGCACTTGGGCCATCCTCCACTGCCTTCCCGGGCCACAGCAGAGAGCTGGCCTGGAAGAGGAGCAACCGGGACAGAACCGGTGCCCCATCTGGGACTAGAACCTGGGATGCCAGCGCCGCAGGCAGAGGATTAGCCTATTGAGCCGTGGCGCCAGCCCCCCTGCCTTTTTTTAACATGATCATACATTATAATTTATCTTGTTGAAAAACTTAAATTTACTTTTATTTATTTATTTTTATATTTTTCTTTCTTTTTTTTTTTTTTTTTTTTTTTTTGACAGGCAGAGTGGACAGTGAGAGAGAGAGACAGAGAAAAAGGTCTTCCTTTGCCGTTGGTTCACCCTCCAATGGCCGCCACGGTTGGTGCGCTGCGGCCGGCGCACCGCGCTGATCCGAAGGCAGGAGCCAGGTGCTTCCTCCTGGTCTCCCATGGGGTGCAGGGCCCAAGGACTTGGGCCATCCTCCACTGTACTCCCTGGCCACAGCAGAGAGCTGGCCTGGAAGAGGGGCAACTGGGGCAGAATCCGGTGCCCCGACCAGGACTAGAACCCGGTGTGCTGGCGCCACAAGGCAGAGGATTAGCCTAGTGAGTCATGGCGTGGGCTACTTTCATTTATTTTAAAGGCAGAGATAGAGAGAGAGAGAGAGAGAGAGAGAGAGAGAGAGAGAGAGGGAGGTCTTCTATCCACTGGTTCACTCCCCAGTTGGCCATACCGGCCGGAACTGTGCCGATCCGAAGCCAGGAGCCAGGAGCTTCTTCCAGGTCTCCCACGCAGGTGCAGGGGCCCAAGCACTTGTGCCACCTTCCACTGCTTTCCCAGGCCACAGCAGAGAGCTGAATCGGAAGTGAAGCAGGCAGGACTAGAACCAGCGCCCACATGGGATGCCAGCACTGCAGGCGGTGGCTTTACCCACTACGCCACAGCGCCAGCCCTGTAACCACTATAAAGGATAGCATTAAGCACACTCACCCTCACTTTTCGTAATCACCATGACAGTGGCAAATAACCACAAGGAGTGCCTGACTCGTGCCAGGCCCTGGGCTGTGGCTGTACATTCGGGGACCCACTGGGTGCTACCGCAGCTCTCTTTCCAATCCTCATTTTACTGGTTCCCTGAGGTCACGTGGAGGAAGGGACAGGCCTTGCAATCCCTGGTCCTCTGTGGGGGTGGGAGTCAGGGCCTGATGAGGGTCCCAGCCGGCCGGAGGGCCACGGATGAGGCCGTGGGTGGGCTGAAGGTGCCTGGGGGCCCCTCAGTCAGTCACAGACCAGCAGAAGGTTGGGCGCACACTATGTGGGTGTGAGTGTCAAGGGGGGGCCAGGGTGTGGGAGGGCCACACAAGGCATGGGGCTGGCCTCTGAGCCCACCTCTGTTCTGCAGCCCTGCATGCCCTTGACCCTGTCTTCAAGAGTGTCACACACTCCCCCAAGGTGCAGGTGAGCAGAGGCGGGAGCAGGGGGTGGGGGGCGCGGACGCGGGTGTCGGCAGGACGGCGGCCTGAGTGGGACCTGTGCCTTCCTCGCAGGCCTTGGCCAGAAGCCTGGGCCTGCAGATGCCCGTGGTGGTGCAGAGTATGTACATCTTTAAGGTGAGCTCCCCATCCGCCCCAGCCTCAGTTTACCCTCTGTGCAATGGGCACAGCGCTCTTCCCAAGCCCTTCTCTTCCAAACCTGCTGGGATTGTTGTTAAGCTGGTGGGAGAACGTGTAAGGCTAAGGCGGCCGGCACGTAGCAGGTGCTCGGTAAAACTCGTTGGTAGGGGCGGGGGGCATTCAGCACAGGGGCTCAGTCACTGCGTGGGATGCCTGCAGCCCCCGTCATTTCAGTCCCGGCACCGCTGCTGATCCCAGCTTCCTGCTGGTGTGCACCCCGGGAGGGAGGGAGCAGAGGCCCCCGCCACCCATGTGGGAGACTGGCAGATGGCTCCAGGTGCCTGGCTAGGTCTCAGCTGTTGCAGGCACGTGGGGAGTGAACCAGCAGACGCACGATTCCGCTCTGTCTGCCTTTCAAATATAACTAAATAAATAAATAACTTAGAAATGATCGGTGAGAGGAGGAAGGGGCCCCCAGGACTCCCGCCTCCCTTCCTTGGCTACTGAGAGGCCCAGCTCAGTGCCACCACCTCCAGGGAGCCTTCCAGATTCCTTGAGAAGAGAAGATGGGGCCTCTGTCTGACTGCAGCCATGTGCACCAAGGTCCGGGCCCTGGCCTCCCGCCCCTTGGTTCTGCTTTGTGATCTCCTTGGGCACGTGTGTGTGGTCTCCCATGGAGACTGCTAGCTCCCTGTGGGCCCAGACTGGCGCACAGTAGGTGCTTAAGAGCCGGGTGTGGACAGGGAATCCTGGGCGGTGATGGCCGGCAGTCAGGGCCCGGCTTGCCGCTCGCCCTCCTCACCACACTCTTCCCCTCTCTTGCAGCAACCGCACTGTGGCGGTGAAGGTGAGCCCCGAGCACCCAAGGCGCCCAGCAGGGGCCATGGGTGGGAGCTCTGGTCAGGCCTCTGGAGTGAGGAGAAGCACCTGCTGATGTCCGTGGGCCGGAGCCTGGGCGGGGAGGAGGAGGAGCGGCCGTCCCTTTCCGCCCAGGATAGTGGATCCGGAGGGAGCCCTGGAGCCCTTGGCACAGTGCTTCCGGAACCCGACAGCTCCCGTGGCTGGTTAAAAATACAGACTCCCAGGCCTCATTCCTGAAGAGCTTAAGCCAGCAGGTCTACAGGGCCTGGGAACCTGTATTTTAACAAGTTCCTTGCAGGACAAATTAAGCGTAGAACTTGCTGGTCGAGTTGCAAAGCTTTCCAGAGGCACAGCACCGCGGCAGGCAGTTACCCACATCTGCTCAGATGCCTCTGCTGATGGGGGGGCTCACCCGCTCCCCCCCCCGGCGGCCCCCTCCTTCCCTGCCCCCCACGCAGCTACCCACATCTGCTCAGATGCCTCTGCTGATGGGGGGGCTCACCCGCTCCCCCCCCCCCCGGCGGCCCCCTCCTTCCCTGCCCCCCACGCAGCTACCCACATCTGCTCAGATGCCTCTGCTGATGGGGGGGCTCACCTGCTCCCCCCCCCCGGCGGCCCCTCCTTCCCTGCCCCCCACGCAGTTACCCACATCTGCTCAGATGCCTCTGCTGACGGGGGCTCACCCGCTCCCCCCCGGCGGCCCCCTCCTCCCCGACTGCCTCCGTGGACCATGCCCTGCCCCCCACCATGCAGCCCAGGGAGTCCCTGGGAGGGGAGACTCCCGCCCCCACCCCGGCCAGGTTGCTCTGCCCCCGTCTGGCACCGTGGTCCCTGATTCCTCTCCCAAGTGCTTTGAAGCCCCCCACCCTCCTTCCTCTGGACACCGAAGCCCCTCCCCACAGCCCTGCGAGGCAGGGTGTGGTCCTTGCCACTTCAGGGTCCGGACACCAAGGCCCTGAGGGGCACCCTCTCGTCCTGGGCCAGGAACTGATCGAGGGGAAGCTGGCCCTGGAGGGCTCCAAGAGACCAGGGAGCGGGGCATGTGGCCGCGGTGAGGGGCACGGGGCACAGGCTCCGGCTCCTCACCCCCAGGCGCCCCTGTGCAGTCACCCCCCACCAGGACGCCTCCTTCCTGCACACGGAGCCCCTGGGCCGGCTGCTGGGTGTGTGGATCGCACTGGAGGACGCCACGCTGGAGAACGGCTGCCTGTGGTTCATCCCTGGCTCCCACACCAGTGAGGACCCCGGTGTCGCCCTGCCCACCCCCCCCCCCCCCCCCGCCATCCCCAGGGAGAGCGGGCTCCAGGTCCACCTTGGCCTGCAGGCGGAGTGTCAAGGAGGATGGTGCGGGCGCCTGCAGGCACCAGGTTCCTCGGGGCCGAGCCGGAGCGGGACCACAGCCTCTTCGTGCCCACACCAGTGCGCAGAGGTAGGCGGGACGCGGGGATGGCCGGGCACAGGGGCCGGGCGGCTACAGAAAGGGCCCTGCGAAGTTAGGAAGCCGTGTGGTCATTGGCAAGTCCTGGATCAGGCTCGCACCCAGACTCTGCTACTTTTGGGGCTAATGACTGAATCACTCAGCCTCAGTTTCCCCACGGGTACAGCATGGAGGCGAGACGAGGTCTGTGAGACGTTCATGTGGAATCTGGGTCGTGCACGGCAGTGCTCCACGGACGTCCCGTCAGTCCGTGCGCCTGCCGAAGGAAGAGGGAAAGCCGAAGGAAGAGGGAAAGCCGAAGGAAGAGGGAAAGTCGAGGCCATGTGCAGCGTCGCGGGCACGGCCCTGGCTCGCCGGGGCAGTGCACAGACCACGGCCTTTCCCGACGCCGGCCCGGGCCTCGGTGCGGTGCTCTGCATGGCCTGGCACGTTGGAGCAAGCTGCGGGGACGGGGGTGGGGGTGGGGGTGGGTGGAGGCAGCCCCGGGCTGGGGGCGGGGCCAGCGTGCAGCTGGTGTCCTTGATGGACCTGTGTCCCCAGGGGCCCTAGTCCTGATCCACGGAGAAGTGGTGCACAAGAGTGAGCAGAACCGGTCCGCGCGCTCGCGCCACGCCTACACGTTCCACCTCATGGAGGCCTCCGGCACCACCTGGAGCCACGAGAACTGGTGGGTGGCAGGGTGGGTGCGTGCACCCCTCCCCCAGCCCCGACGAGCCCCGGGGACTGGGAGCAGTGACCCCGGCATCTCAAGGTCGTCTCTTCCGTCCTCTGCAGGCTCCAGCCAACAGCTGAGCTGCCTTTCCCCCCACTGTACACCTGAGGGCCCTCGGGGCTGGGGCCTGCCCGTCCAGGCCGAAGCTGTGGGCTGCGACGCCGGCGCCTCCTCTGACCTTGGCTCCCCTCCCAGCCGCCACGGGGAGCCCCATCTTCCGTCCTGGACTTCCTTCTGCCGATGTCTCTGCCCCTGAGCCCTGCGGAGAGGCAGGAGCGGGGGTGGGGGGTGGGGTGATAGAGCAAGGCCAAGTCCAGCTTAGCGGGAGGCTTCCCCAAGATCTTCGTTCCTCTGCCTCCCTGCCGGCACGTGGCCCCTTCCCCCTCTCCTCTCCCGTGGGCTGGAGCCCGGTCTGACATGCACAATAAAAACAGCTGAAGGCAGCGCCTCTGAGCCCTGTCCCGGCACCACAGCTCTGCTGCCACCACTGCTGGCACTCTGGCCGGCCGGCGTGGACCACGTGGCTTCGGTAACAAGGTCACTTTCCCTGGGCTGTGCTGGGTCCTCGTGCAGGTGAGGGGGCCGAGCAAGGCAAAGGGAAGTGACCTGTCGGGTTGCTCAGCTCCATCTGGGCCTGGGCTCCTCCCCTTTCCACTGCCCTGTCCTCTGCTGGGGGAAGGGTGAGAGGCCCAGGCCAGGAGTCAAGGTTCCTGCAGGCTCTGGTCCCAGCCCTGTGACCAACTTGCTCTCAGGCCAACCCCCTCCTCTCGCAGGGCCCTGTCTCCCCCCGCCTGTCCCAGGGACAGGGCCAGTCTAGGGAGACTTGGGGCCCGTCCTGTTTGGGCATGCTTGGCAGGCATCCAGGCCTTCTGAACAATTACCAAATCCAAAGCCTGCTTGGCTGCGATCTGGCCCAGAGGTCACAAACACTGAGGTTCCAAAGCATGGATACGATTTGTTTAGGCCTCCCCCCTTTTTTTTTTCAGTAATTTTTTAAAACTGGGAGATTTGACATAATCCAGGTTTCTGGGCTTCCTTGAAAGAGTCGCCAATCATCAATGCTGGACCTAAGGCTGGTGTTGTGGCGCGGGCAATGGGCCACCACCCATGACGCCAGCACCCCACACAAGCACCAGTTTGAGTCCTGGGTCTCCCACCTCCCATCCTGCTCCCTGCTTGTGCACTTGGGAAGGCAGCGGAAAATGGCCCGAGTGCCTGGGTCCCTGCCACCCACGTGGGAGACCCGAAGAAGCCCCTGGCTTCAGCTTGTCCAGGCCCCGGCCATTGCGGCCATTTGGGGAATGAATCTGCCAATGGAAGACCTCTCTCTCTATCTCTCCCTCGCTCTGAAATCCTTTCAATTAAATCAATCAATCTTTACAAGACAATGCTGGTCCCCTAAGGGTGCCAGTTTGAGCCCCACCTGCTCCACTTCCGATCCAGTTCTCTGCTGTGGCCTGGGAAAGCAGTAGAAGATGGGCCCCTGCACCCACGCGGGAGACCCGGAAGCTCCTGGCTCCTGGCCGGCCCAGCTCTGGCTGCTGCAGCCATTTGGGGAGTGAACCATCGGATGGAAGACCTCTCTCTGCCTCTCTGCCTTTCAAATAAATAAATAAATAAGTCTTTAACAAAACAAAAACAAACAAAAGGATACTGGCCCCTGCCTCCCAAGGAGCTGCCTCCATAGGGGCCCAGGCCACATTCACTGCCTTCCCCGCCTCCCTCCGCAGCCCCGGGCAGTCGCCGACTGGATCCCTCCCCCTCCAAGGCACAGGTGAGGCCACTCAGCTGTGGGGCAAAGCTGTGCTCTTTCCCAACATCTGGCCACCTCCTTTGGCCAGCAGAAGGGAGCCCGAGAAGGGACCGGTTTGTTAAGTCTGCACTGAGCCCACAGGAGATGTCTCTGAGGGAAAGGCCGTGGTGACTCCCATGCAGAGGTCGGCTCTCGGAGCTCTGCCCCCGGCTGCTGGCTCGGTGGGCCGTGTGGTTTTCCTGCCAGGCTGGCTGACACGAGCGAGTACCAGGACTCCTGCTGTGCCTTCCTCCCAAGGCTGGGAAGCGCTCATGGTTGCAGGGGCTGAGCCCCTGGTGCAGGTGGTCTGCAGCCTGGCAGAACTGGGGCAGCCCCAGCAGGGCCAGGCAGGCACCCCCTAGTGGAGGCTTTCTGACCTCGCAGGAAACGCCCCCCAGCCCCCAGCCCCTGCTCGCTCTGCCTGGGGGAGCCGCGGTGTGCACAGGCCTGGAGGGTGCGGGGGACCCCTTGGCGAGGAGCCGGCGCTGCTCAGCCAGGCAGCATGGGTGGCGTGGCACTGGCTGAGCCAGGGTGTCTCCCTGCAGCCTCTCCGCACCTCCTCCCACCCTAAGGGGAGAAGCCACCCGCACCCGTGCTCTGTCCTCCCCTTCCTCCCAGGGAAGCCAGGAGAGCAAAGGCCCCTCTGGCTTCCGAGCACAGCCCACAGACCCCTTGTCTCGCCTGGCTCCTGGCTCGTGTGAGGACTGCTCTTGGGCGACGATGGCACTGTCCCTCACAGACTGCTCATCCCGGGAGGGCCCCGGCCGGACACCTCGCCACACCTGGGGGGGGGCTGTCGTTAACCCCCTCTTGCACACAGGAAAGCCAAGGCTCAGAGCGGTCAAGCAACTCACTCGTGGTCACTCGGGAAAGCCGTGCAGCTCACGGGAGTCTGACGCGAGCCAGCAGGCGCGCCCGCCGCGAGTGTCCACTCCACGGCGAGACGGGGCGTGCGGGGCCGCTCACGTCCTCGGGTTGTACTACCCTTTAAGCCCCTGTTTCTCCTTAAACGGCAGCAAAACTAAAACCAGGAGTGCTTGGCTTGTTGTTTTTTTTTTTTTTTAATTTTAAATCTGAATCAACTGAAAACCCAACCTGCTCCCTGCTCTTTCGGCTCTCCACGCCGAGCGGCTGGCTGGCTGCCTGGGGGCCCTCGCCCCCCGCGCCCGTGGCCCCCGCTAGGCCATCAGCAGTATCAGGAGGTAGAGAGGCAGCAGGAGATTGTCTATCTGCGTGGTGTACGCTTCGAGCAGGGACACGGTGCTGATGGAGCCCAGGATCCAGGCGTAGCCGCAGTTCAGGTCCACCCCGCTGTCGAAGACCAAGATGAGCGCCACAGAGATGATCTGCGCGAAGATGGACGTCATGGTGCCCTCGAACGTCTTCTTGGTTCCAGGCCAGCGGATCTCGCCCATGGTGCTGCCGAAGATGGAGGCCACGGTGTCGCCCACGCCCACAGCCAGGACGCCGGCATAGGGGACCAAGGCCCTGGCTCCTCCCAGGCTGCCCTTCTGGGCGCAGGGCCTGGGGACCAGCCAAATGGGAAGGGACATGCCCAGGAGCAGGTAGATGTGCGTGAGGATGAGCGGGCCGCTGTCCCGCTCGTCCAGGAAGAGGGCCAGCAGGCTGCGCAGCGGGTGGCCCAGGGGCTTGATGCGGAAGTAGCGCACGTACTCCAGGAAGATGAAGACCGCCAGGCACACGGTGGCGGCCACGTAGAGCAGCGGCCGGTCGAAGATGATGCCGGGGATGTAGGTGGCCACCACGAGGAAGTGGAAATACTTCCGCGCGATGGTGGGGGCCTGGTGCTTCTTGCACTCGGAAGCGGCCCGCTTGGCGTTCTGGTACAGCACCACCAGGCAGGCCAAGGCAGCCAGCAGCGACCAGTAGGCAAGGAGGTAGACGCGGGTGTCGGTTTGGAAGAGGAACTGCAGGAGCCAGAGCAGGGGGTTCCTGCGGGTGAGCCAGTGCAGCCAGGGCAGGACCACGCCGAGGCCCAGCACGCAGGTCATGAGGTGGAAGAAGATGGACGAGGCCCAGGTGCCCGAGTCCATGAAGACGAAGAGGGTGCTGAAGAAGACCCCCAGCAGCACCATGCCCACCACCACCACGAGCAGGAAGCAGTCCACCGGGTCCCCCTGCGTCTCCACCACGGTCAGCGAGCGCTTGATGAGCTGGTTGAGCAGGAAGCTGAAGCCCCCCAGCACCAGCAGCGCCTCCCCGGGGGTGAAGCAGCGGGGCAGCAGGTACAGCAGGATCATGTTCAGGTACACGAAGATGAGCAGGACTTCCAGAACCTCGATCACCTCGCCCACGCTCAGCGAGTGCCGCATGACGTACAGGATGACGCCGCCCGCCAGGCCCGAGATGGCGCACGTGTTGGTGGGCACCGGGCGCGTGATGCCCAGCGCCAGCACGGAGGAGAAGAGGGCCACCGCCATGCCGGTGGCTGCCACCACGACGCCGAAGCGCTCGAAGTGCGGGTTCTCGGCCGCCTGGCAGCGCTGCTTGACCACCAGCCCGAACAGCGGCATGACCACCGAGGCGGGCAGCAGGCCGCTGTTGGCCGCCACGCGGAACTGGAAGACCGCGTTGCCCTGCTGCAGCAGCCGGTCCCACTTATACTGCACGTAGAAGGCCTGCACCGCCAGCGCCACGGCGCACCACGAGTACCGGTCCCACACGGCCGCGTGGACGCTCAGCACCACCGCGAACACCACGGCCGCCTCGGCCAGCACCGACCCGCTCAGCGGCGCCACGGCCTCCGCGGCCCGGGGAGGGCCCTCTCGGGTCATGACTGCAGACCCGGGGCTCCGAGGAAGCCGCGGTCACCGGGGACGCCTCTGGACTCGGGGCCCCGCCGCCCCGCCAGGCAGAGGGCGGCAGCTCCCGCCCAGCCGGAAGGCTTCTCCAGCTTCGACCCGGGGGCGCCACTACGGCCCACTGGAGAGCTGGCGCGCGGCCGCTCGCTCCCTGCGGCGAGGCCGTCTCCGCGCCTCCGCCGCCCTCACAGTCCTCTCGGCGCGCGCCGCGGACGCCTTATCTCCCCGCGTGGCGCCATCTTGACCCAGCCCGTCCATCACGTGACGGAAGCCCCGCCCCCGCGCCCCGGTCAGGCGGTGCCGGGTCACGTGGGCGCGGCGTCTGGGGGCGGGGTCAAGGCGCGCGCGCGCGAAGATGGCGGCGGCCGCCGGCGGGCAGAGTGTGAGGTGCGGAGCGGGGCCGAGGCAGCGAGGGCGGCTGCGAGGCGCTGGGTGGAAGCCGGACGGGAAGCGGGGCGGGAGTCGGGGACGGGATGGGGCGGCGGTGGCGGGGCGAGCCTCTGCTGGGTGGGCGGAAGCCGAGACGGGGAGCGGTTAAGTCCAAACGGTCCCCGCGCGCGGGGCTCTGAGGGGACTTGTCCGGGGAGGCCGGCTCCTCCGCGTCTCCTCGCCGGGGCCCCTTTCCCTCTTGCCCTCTCGGCGCGGCCCCGGGCGCCCCACCCACGTCTCCTCGCTCGGGGCGCGTCGCGGTGGCGGGAGGACCCAGGCGGAGCCCGAGCCGCAGCGCCCCGAGTTGCGGTCCGCCGGGTCTGCTCGCCCTGTCCCGCGCCTGGAGTGCGTGAGGGGACGAGCCCAGACCCTCCAGGAGCTCGCAGGGCGACTCTTAGAGA